GGAGGGGTGTGGCATTGAGATTCCATTAAGGTATCCAATGCAGTGCTGGCAAATGAAATGGCACAGATGAGTCTCATAGCTCAACCAGGGCACATGCTGAGGCCTGGTTACCATGGCATCTGTGCCCTCCTCACACCTATTAGCTTTCATGCCTTCCTTCCTTGTTGTGCACCCTGCCCCGGTAGCATTATGCCATAATCTTCCAGATACAGCAGCTGGTAATCTGATGAATTTCTTGTATCAGCTGTTTTGCAGCTTCAAGGCAAACAAACTACAAAACTCCCATCTACTGTTCAAATATACAGTGGATAGTAGATTTCTGGATGGATATCAATACAGATGTTCAAAACCGCAGTTTAAGCACATTTAAATGCCAATGTAAATATGTTTTTTGGAAGGTAATCATATGTTTTAAGGTGTTTCAGATATTCATCACGAGATCTTTGCGAAATTAATGTGACACTACAGATAAATATTGGCCACCGGCATGGGTAAATGTCACCTAATTTACTTGTATGAAGACATATGGGTCGATATCAATGTTGGCTCACTTATGGATCAATACCTAACACACAGTAGGTATATTAGAGCCTCATCTTAGCTTAGTATAAGCTAAACCCATTTCATTATTGATTCACTGTTATATCAGATCACTGGTTTGCCGGAATTGAGAGCAAATGCCAAAAACATTTCATTTACTGCCAAATAAAAACAAGCCAAAAGCCACATTTTAGGACCTGAAACAACCAAGGTGTATATTATATTACTGTTTTAAAATGCATTCTTTTAAAATGGCAGCAGAAACAACAAGTCCACACATGCACAGGAATAACACAGTCCACTAGGCTGTGTGAAACCTCTCTGAAATCAAACAAAGGGTGACAGAGTGTGAGCCTGTGTAATATATAGTGGTTAATATCTTAAATCCGTTCGTGGACTACAGATAACCCAGAGGAACTGCTGCTCATTAACATATTACATTACCACTGGGCTAAAATCACATAAAACTGAGTCAAATATGCAAGTCATGACACTCCCTTAGAAACACCCCCTTTTTTTTCTTCTTATTTTGTGCCCCTCACTGCCAGGATATCTGACGTGATCAGGAGTGTGTTCCTGTGTATTTTTCCACAAGTATTTGCAGAAGCAAACCTGTGACCTTTCAGTGACTGGATATAGCTACTCCCACCCTGCTGCCCATTGTAAAAGGAGAAAGTTAAGACCTGACACAGTTCTCTGGAATGCAAACTTTAGTCCCCTCTGATCCGCTCATGTGGAATTAAAGAGAAGTACAGTAGAAGAAGAGAGGGAGGAAGAGGAGGGTAGTGCGGGCTGAGAGGGCTGTTGAAGAGATACCTTTATGTAGTGCAGGGCCTTTATGTCTCCAAATGCACAACTGTAAACTATACTGTAATATATTGCGCACTACCCCATGCTCCTCCATTACCTCTCTTTAGCCTAAAGGTAGCTCCAGTTCTCGTTGCACTTCTGACACACTGCCCTGTCGGGCACATTTAAAGGAGAACAAAGGCCAAAGCCTTGCCAACATCACTTTTGATCATGCATGGGAAGAACTGATAGCTTCCATGGGTTGACTCATCTATTCAGGGAGGGTTCCCAGGCTGGCAGTGTCCTCAAGCTCTCTGCACAGGACCCATCAACACTGCTCAATAATAAATAACTGTAGGTGCTACACGGCTTCACTGCAGCATCATGACTCTGACCGACAGAGAGAGAAGACACGTGAAACTGCTCCAGTCACAGTTAACACCTCATCCAGCTGTGTGCTCTCCAGACAGCTGCTGCTGCTGATGGAGACATCTCCAACCCCGCTTTTAATATAAAGGCTACTAGGTCGCACAGAACAAGGGGAGCCACTTCTCTATTACACAGCTGCAGCTTCTGTTACAGCAGATCTCCTTTCAGTCTCGCCCTGAACCCCATTAACCACACAAGACTAAATCACTTCAAATAAACCATGCAATCTGGATGATCGGCTCAAATAATATGCTTACATAAAAAGCGATACTAACGTAATAGAAAAAGGAAAGTCATGAGCTCCAGATAAATTCGGGTTATGTGGCTGCATCTGTCTGGCGAAAAGGAAACCATTTTCCCACGACGGCAGCATTGAACTTCATCAGTGATTCCTGCGTGCTGGTGTATCTCAGGATTTTTTTTTGGCAAGGGCAGCCAATACCCGGTGTGATGAACATCCGTGGATTCGTTTACCTACCTTTATCTCAGAAGCGTTTCATATTCCTTCACCTGCGTGTCGGTGTCAGCGAATCTGCCGCCGAGGAGCTGCAGCTGTTCCTGCTGCTGTGAGGCGCGTCTGCACGGAGAGGCAGCTCACAGGATCCTGGCCATTGTGGTTCGCAGGACCAGAAAGGGAGGCAGCATGGGTGTACAGCACGCTTTTACAGCGCGTTACAATGAGTATTTTCCGCTCTGGCCCGCAAGAGGTCGTCCTTTACGACTACTGTAGAAGGGTCAGGGCCGTCAGTGAGTGTAACTGATGTCTAAATGTGATTTGCTACTTAACTTGACATTTTTTCACGAAGAAGCTCACGTGGAACTTCTCTAATTAGAAAATGAAAAGATTAAGCCCCGCCCAAACGATCCTATATCTAACCTGTAGACTAAAATAGCAATTATTATTATTTTGTCATTATTGATAGATGCGTTTGAAGCCAGTCATGTTTCGCTGTGCAACTGAACACAGTATATAGTATAGTGTATGCACTTTTTTATACTACACGTCTCTGTGAAAACGTTGTAAATTGAAGACTGAAGATTTTGATGGGGAAACTGACAGATTACTAAGAATAGGACTACATTTTCTGTCTGTTAAGGGTGTCTTTAATAGCATAACAGAATTAAAGAAATATCCAGAAATATCCACCCAGAACCATTTCAGTTATTTTACCTATGATGAGCAACCCGTAAGGATGGCCATTACTCTGAAGATAAGGGTTGGATCTGTTTAACTATGATCATGGTGAGACCTTTGTTAATTCATCTCATACTTTGTCCTTATCTTTAATTAACTTGTATGGACTTGCTTTTGCAACACATCAGCTTAACACATGATATTAATTATAGAAGAAAGAAGGCTTAAAGGTAGGGTTAATAGGGGCTTAACACCTGCACCTGATTGTGCCATCTCATTAGTGTCATACCAGGGATGCAATTTCTATAATAGTTCGAGGTTCTGGTGTCATAGCTGACACTTCCAGGGCCCTGGCGCCTCACCTCTGATCTCTGCAGACAGAAACTGTCTGTGGGCTCTGTAGTGGATAAATTGCCAGAGGAAATTCCATCACAGGTAAGTGACAGAGACTAAATGTAGAAGGGAACGTGCCACTTTTCACTGTTATTAAAAGAACCAACTTTGCAATCTGAAAAAAAAGTGAGATTTTCTTGATCCCCTGCACAACAATAGCAGTAATCAATAAAATACAATGGTGCTAGTTTTTACTTAACTCCTGACCTTGAACACAGCAGTTGACAGGAGATACATTTAGTTGTTTCTCTCTTGGGTTTTTAAATGCATCACATCTTCGACAGGCTGAATTTCCCTTATGGCGAGACTTTTTCTGCATGGATTACACGGTAATTAAAGCATATGCTATTGAGGAATCTCCAGATGCTGCAGAACCTCTTGAGATATCTTATTAAACAAACATTTCTCAATAGCTCAAGATACTCAAAACCCGTATGACAACTATGATGTCAAATATGATCTATATAATATGATAACAAAAGATTTATTTGGGCCTGCTCGATAACCATATTTTAAAAACTGACATCACACCACGAAGAAACCGCTTACCGTATATGTAGTTCTCTACAACACCAGCAGAGGGCGACGTTGCTCCTTTCAAGGAAAAATAAACTGGAATGAATTCTGAAATTTACAAACTCAAATTCGAATACATGTGCAGGAAGAATTGCATTAAATTTATAATTACATTAAATATATTGTATCAAAATTATGTGTGTGATCAATAAGCCCTTGTTTCACCATTTAACCAACATCTCTAAACACACACAAGCTTTATGCTTCTTTGCCCTATTTGCCCCGAAATCTGACATTAAGCTGAGCCCCGTGTTCCCTGTATTCTCAGAAGCATTGTGTTCAGTGTGTAGACCAGTGCGTGTAATGTGCTGCATGCACAAAGGACTCTCGCTCTTGCTGCTGGAGTGGACATGAACAATACCTCGAGCCCCATGGGCCACATTACAGATTCGCATAAATGGACGACAGGAGGAGCGCAGGCAGCCTCAGACTAATGGAGAGGAAAACCACAGGGGCGAGTGAGCTGAAAGCTACATCCTGATGTCATCCGGTATTTGGGCAGAATGTCAGAACCTTGAAATGTTCGGAAATCTGTTTTTGAATGCCCAGAAATTAGACCTGTGTGTTCGTTTACCCATGACTAAGACAGAGGTGTCAACTTCTTTACAAACACAACAAACAACCCTCTAAAAGAAAATATAAACTCACATTTATTTCTCAGCATTTTGGTGAAACTTTATTGTTTCTGAACTCTTCCGGATTCAAAAATATTACAAGATGAATTTGAAAAAACAAGATGAGCCTTTTTACTGTTTATTTTAAGCAAATTTGATTTGAAATGAAATTCCAGCTGCCATTAGAAGAAGGAACACAGAGCACACGAGTGTTTTACAGTTACATATTATATTATATAAGTTTCTTTAATACTTGGTGGAATAAGAACCCCAAGCATGATAATGTTTCCATAAGTTAGTGATTAATAAACAAAATGCAATATGTGATATAGAGAAGGTCCCAAAATATTTTCCATTCTTCGGGTGCTTCTACGGATGTTAAGTCTCCAGTGCTGCAGCTCATCCTCATAATGAAACATCATCATGCAATAATAATGTCAGCGTGGTATTCCATTAGGATACAGACCAGGGATTCCCCATATCCCTTGTTCTTTAGTGGCTGGATACGCACTGCCACACTTGTCCTAAATGTCCAGCACGTGGTCGAGATATGAGATGTAACAAATCGCGAGTCGCAAGATTTCAATCTTGGACAACTTTTTGTCTGGCGGGAGCGTTGGGAGCAGTTTCCTTAGTTCTGCAAAGGCCACATTGAAGGCTACAACACGGACCCGTTCCCTGGTGGCATGCGCAGATCGATATTTGGCTGTGGCGCGCCTCTTGCGCCTCTTCTCCTCCTTGGAACGCACTTTGGCCTCTCCATCGTGGGTTCCGACCGGCATGGACCCACACTGCGCACCGAGGGAGTCCAGAAGGGTGTCCGTGTGTCCCCAGGGGAGATCAGACTCCTGATGATCACCGCTGAGCATCATATCAAAACCTCTGTTAAAAATAGAATAAAAAACATACTACTAGGCAAATGAAACTGAGGCAATACTGTAATTCTATAAAACATGCACAAATCATGGATGCAAATATGAAAACATTTTATTTTCTTCTGGCTTTTCCTCATTAAATGGCAATTAGGAACAAATGCAGGGATATGAGAGACTCCTGCTGCCCTTCAGTGGAGAATCTGTAGTATTACCACTATAGCGACGCTGTCCGAGGTACTGAAACATCAAGACAAGAAAACAAAGCGAAGCAGCCCTTGTTTGTTTTGCAAAAAACAACTGGTATAATAAGAATAGCACACATTTATGATATATTTCCTGAAGATAATATCTATATGTAGAAGAGTGTGCAAGAGGATCATCGGATTGTTTGTGTTTTTATCTGGTAATGTTTCAACTTTCTTGCAGATTTCGACGAACCAAACAAAAAAACAAAAGAAAAAAACGAAAAACGCGCAGAAGACCTTGGAGTAACGACCGTGGAAACAAAAAACAAGGCTGAACTTACCTTGTGCATTCGAGGAGAAGGTTTCATCTCATTCAGCAATATCAAATATTTAAGCTGCAGGTAAAGTTATCTCGCCAGCAGCCTTCATGGTCTCTGACTCTTGATTTACCCGAGTGGAGAAAAATAGCTGAAAACTGGACTTGAAGTGGAGTAAAAATCAGCCCACCTCGTCTTTCCCTTCCACCACACTGTCACTATTGTGTGGCTCCATTCAGCAGCAGCATTTTTTGGTCTTCTTCACCCCCCACCTCCCCTATGCTTCCTCGCCTGTCTGTGCGCAGGATTAGACACTGTCGTCTTACTACACGGAGCTCAGAGACGACAAGCAAGACGGATGACGCTGTCTTCTTTCGCTTTTATTAATCAGCAGGTAAAAATAAAACCTGCCTGAGTCCCCGCCCTATTTTATGAGATTTGTTTTTGCAGACGGTTCATTTGAAAGGTTAAAATCCAGTCCACTACATTGAAGGTCCACTTGACGAAAACTTCTGCTAGTGACGTCACATTCCCCTGGCTCTTATTAGCAGAAGGTCAAGTGAGCACCTGGGTCTACACAGAAGGAAATCAAAAAGCCGGTGGAATATCTGCTGTAATAGCCTTGACCTGATGCAAGACTGAGTCATATTTGTGAAACTGGAGAATTAGAATGTGACAAGATTGCTGGTAGAAAGCTGTGGATCTGCAAACCAGTGTGCACAACTCTTGCTTTGGACTCAGGAGGGGAAGCGTTTTTACTTATACATATGAAAATCTAATTTCATGCAAGCTATGCATACCATGCATTAATATCTATTTTTATATTGAGGATTAGTTTTTGTTTTTTATACCTCGTCTGGTCCAGTGTGCTAGTTGCAAAGCTGCGGCTATGACATTTTGATCTGCTCATTTCTGGAAATGTCAACGCTAATCATTACTAACATAATCACTGAGAATAAATCACCACTGAGCCTCCACCTCTGTGGTAGTGGAAAATGTTTCCTCAGACGCTGTCAGAAATGGCACAGTAAATGCTCGACTGGATCGTGTGAAGTTATTGAGATGGCCTTGGCATATGGCTAACATCATTACCGTTCTCTCGAAGCCGCTGCATTACCATTTATGTGTTGTCGATTTGAAAACGGCGTGGATATGATGCTCATCACAGGAAAGAAAGAGGTGCACGTTATGACAATGGCTTCCCAAAGTTGCAGTGTTGGCAAACATGTGGCCTTTTCAAAGAGGACTTGACAGACATGATGGCATCCTTTGCATTTCTTTACACCGCTTAGATCTAATGCCTATGTATCATTGACTTTTTCTTTTTCTTTTTTTTGCAGGACTGTGAGCACTTTAAACATCTGAATGAATTAATTTACCATCATTGCTGGAGCAGTGATGATCAGCTCTGCCTGTATCTGGCTGTAGCTGTAATCTTTCAGCAAGTTTTTATTTATGCTGTGATATCCTATAAAATATAAATGCTGGCCAGTCTGGCCCGCTGGCAAAATCACGCAATCTCTTTTGCCATCATCATGAAAAACCAGTACATGGATAATTTTTATTGATAATGAATAGTAAGAACATTCACAGTAAAGAAGGCATGCAGCAGCCAGAATAAAAGACCATTTTATGAACAGCTACTGTAATTATCAGTGTAAATACATAGCCTTGTAATGACTTGCTTCTTGATATTGCAGCCCAAAAAATGCTTTTCTCACAGATGTCTTGCAGGGTTACATCAGGCTGCCTTTTGCAGATATATACTATATATGCAAATGCTCTGTTTCTGTGCTAGTTTTTCTATTCTTTTTTACTCGTTGACCTTCATTTGTCTTCTTTGACTGCACAGTTTGGCTTAATGTCAGCAGATTCTGGAGATGCTCAAACAGTTGCTCAGATCTAATGACTGACTATCTATCTATCTATCCATCTATCTATCTATCTATCTATACACACATGTACATATAGAACCTGAGTCAACACCACATTATTCAATTCAAGCAGCTGTGACCATAAAGTCTAACTGGTCTTGTATCATCTCCTCCTTTTCTTATTGGTTCTTCTGGGTTTAGCTTCTCATCTGTCTCAGTCTGGACACCATCTGTTTAAAGGACACAGACACAAACCTCATATTTACATCTCCTTATTCTCATCTGTTCATAACACTCATGCAAACCCGGGCATTATGAAAATGCATTTGCTAAATATTTTTCTTACACACAATAAAATTACAAAAAAACAAAAATCAAACTAAAATTCCTGTTTTTGTCAAAGCTTCTATTTTTACTGTGAATAAAATATGCCTTAGTATCCCCCCCCCCTTTCTTTTTCTTATTTTCCAGAACTTTACCTCCATCATCATTTGTCAGCTTCTATAATGAGTTTGCAGCAAACAGCACAGTAAATGTGAATGAGTTACAGTTTTTCTCAGTCGCTTTGGTGCGTTTCTCAGATCAGAATTGAAATTCTCATAACTATTAGTTCAACCTCCACAACACTCAGTCATTTGTGCACATCATAGTAGCAATTTCTCCTCTCTCTGAACAAGCTGCAAATGATTTTGGACATGAATCAGTTGCTTCCATACATTTCCCTGCTGCTTTCTGACATTTCCATTTGCTTATGTCATGTCAGTCAAAAGTAATCATACCTATGGATGCTGAATAGTCGTTCCCAATAAAACTAATAGTCATACATCCATTGCTTGAGTCATCACACACAAAATTGTTGAACTAGTTATCACATGCCAAATATTGGCCATCTGTCAAGCAAATCCTATACCTTTCTGTATCATTTTTCCTGGAAATGTCTGAACAATTGATCTCAGGTGAATTACAGCTGTCACTCATGAGGTTGTTCACTGTCAATTATGGATGAATCCTGTGAATCCCCAATTGGCAAGCATATATAAACTGCGCAGGAGCTAGTGTGTAACATTTCTACACTTCTGTGACACAAAATGGAAGGTCAGCACCGTGGAAGAGGGGTGAGGATGCGGGGAGGAAGGGGAAGGGGAAGAGGGAGAAGAGGCAGATATAGGCGGATTCCTAATGAAATAAGGGCTACAATTGTGGACCATGTTGTCAATCACGGCCTCACCATGGAGGAGGCTGGTCGAAGGGTGCAACCCAATATTGGAAGAACTACTGTCAGTTCAATCATTCAAACATTCCGTAGGGAAAACAGGTATGCAAACAGTAATACACTGTACTGTACTGTGCCATCTCAGACAACGGCGTCCTCACCCATATCCCCCTTCTTGGTCCATACAATACCCAACATCTCCTGACATTTTTAGACACTCTTTACAGGGACCTAGTCCCTGAGAATGAGAGAGGTGGAGGCCAACTCAGCAAGTATGTTGTTTTCTGGGATAATGTCCGTTTTCACCACTCCCATCAGGTCAGAGAGTGGTTTGCAGCACATGACAGAATTCTGGTTGAATATCTCCCTCCATATTCCCCATTCCTTAATCCAATAGAGGAGTTTTTCTCTGCCTGGAGGTGGAAAGTTTATGACCGGCATCCACATGAGCAAATGGCCCTGCTAGCAGCCATGGATGCAGCATGTGACGACATCACAGCAGGGTCCTGCAGAGGATGGATTCGCCACTCCAGGAGATACTTTCCTCGCTGCATTGCGAGGGATAACATCTGTTGTGATGTAGATGAAAATATGTGGCCAGACAGACAGGAACGTCTGGATGTGCCAGAATGATTTACTGTACTGTTACATGTGCTGTTTATTGTTCACATTAGTGCACAGCTCTACCAAATGGGTGATTTTATGTTTACATGTATTCTACAGTGCACAAGTGACTGTAGCATATTTTTCTTTTGCACAATTCTGTAGGATTACAAACACTTCTACACAATGGAAATGTGAAACGTACGTATTCAGTGTCTCAGTTACTCCCAAGACTCCCATAACATCTACAGTGACTTTACTGCACATTTTAGATGGCTGTACAGGTAGGCCATAGTGCTGTAGTCAGCATTTTCAGGTGTCACCAATTGTTTTTGCAATGGGAAACACTGAAATTATAAACTGTCATAGTGGAAACATGACAATGCCATTTGACTATCTTGTTCATAAAGATGGTGTCAAGACTTTTCATTTTGATGGCACTGACAGTTTCATTGACATGGATACTTGCTTTTGAGGTATGGATAATCAATTCTGTGCATGTGACGTGCTTTTGCAGGCTATCCACTAGGTTTTGCAGTTTGCACTAATTGTTTTGGGAAATGCACTAACTGCTGTGCAAATGTTAATGGTGTTCTGAGGAACGCACCAAAGCGACTGAGAAAAACTGTAAAGTAGTTAAGGTTTATTGTGTTCCCTATTCCTTCCCCTCAGCCTGGTTAACATCTGCTGTCATATTTCGTTTCTGCTGATTTTGGTGGCATCTAATCAATCAGCTCAGTCCTCATGGTGACAGGGAAGGAAACAAAGAGGGCAACGGAGGAGGGGAACGACAACAGTGAACAAAAACAACAGACAGAGAGAACTCTGATGACTGAAGACAACATCAACCTGTGAGCAAATGCTCCGAATTATTATCAAGCTTTGCTGTAAAATTTAAGCTGACATTAAATAATTAGTAAAGTAGAGAGATAATTTTATTCTGTACACTTCCAGTACATAAATTTTACTCACTGCAATGCCAGTTGGCTTGGCACAGCTTCATAAGCTACTATAAATGCTGAGGAGGAGGAATACACGGGCAAAGAATTATTTATATATATATATATATATATATATATATATATATATATACACACACTGTGTAATAATTAATACAGAGAAGGTTCAATAGAAAAGATGAGCTAATTATTTGTCATTTATTAGTTTATTTGTAATTAATACAGAGAAGGTTCAATAGAAAAGATGAGCTAATTATTTGTCATTTATTAGTTTATTTGGGGTTCAACACAGGGTCAAAAATAATGTATTAACAAGTTTTCTACTGTCACACAGAAGTGTGCAACATGTTAGAGATAGAGGGAGACATTAACCATAGAGAACTTTTTCATGCTTGTGCTATAACATCAAACAAATATCCGGGAGGTTTGTGTGTCATCCACTCGACAGAGAACACAGGGCAGTGTTTCCCTGCTAGACACTGCCACAGTTCAGTGAACATCTCTTCATGGTGTTGCCTTCAGGGGCTTTGAATTTGAAAAAATCTATTTGCTTGACAAACATATAATAAGTGACTTATTATCCAGATTAAAAAAAAAGTACTGAGGGAGGATCAGGA